GTGTTTAAAAAATACTTTAATATTATATAATGGCTTGAACTTTGTTCTAGGAAGCAAATGTCTATAACTAATTTTTTTAATATTTGCAAAAATCAATATAGTAATGTTTACAGTATTTAGCATTTAATTAGCATAGTAGTACATTTATTAATGAACAGTTTAATTACTTTTGTATGTATTAAATAAATGGTTAATAAAATAATTTTACATGGGATAAACCTTTATATAGTCATTTCACGTGATTTATTATATAATAGTGATTGTACAGAGGTTTGATGATTACAGTCACACCCCTGTATAATCATCAATTTTATCTGAACTGACCTGGTGACTATAAAGGAGTCTGACTGTATTTGTTTAAACTTTTCTAACATTAAAAATGTGCTATTTCATTGAGTAGTAACATTAAGATCATTATCTTATAATAACTGCGAAATGCATCACAAAGAATAGTAGAATGACAGATTTTATTTACAAATATTCTAACCTTATCAATAATTTCTATTCTTAATTGCATTTCATGATTAATTGCGATATTTAAAACATGTGCTATGCATTAGAAATGTTAAAACTCTTTATCATTCCAAGTTTCTCCAAATTCAATTGTCATATTTTTATCACAAAGAACCATTGTTACATCATTATCCGTAGTAATAGAAAGAATTTTTCCATTAAGATTCATTTCATCTATTAACTGAAAAAACTTTTCCTTTGTTTTAACATCAGTATGATAATGCTCAAAGTGAATTAAGTCAAGAAGAAAATGTCACATATTTCATTCATCATCGATATAATGAATAGTTACTTTCAGATAAGCTTGATTTTGTAATTGAAGTCCAAACATCAGTAGTAAGAGATACTTTTGTTAAAAGATTTTTAAGTTCATCGGTAACCAAAGAATGATGATCTGTGAATTTATTAATTATTTGTTTTTGCAAATATTGACATAATAGTAAAATATGCCTTTAATCTAGAATATTACATAACTTTTTAAACCAAGAACTTTCTACAATAGAAAATGGCATTTGAGATTTAACAACAAAATCATTAATGGCATTTGTGCAATCTTTAACTCTTATTACGTTAAATTTGTCATGGATTTTTAATAAAATAAAGTCACATTTATTGCTTTATTTAAATATTACATTTATGTTCCTTAGATATATGATCCATTAAAGATTGCATTAATGTTTTAGGACTATACTCTTTTTTATACAAATTGCTACAACTTTATACATATCATCATATTTTTTTATACATATATTTTTAAACAGCTGAAGTAGTTTTTCCTTTATTCTTATCAATATTAAGTATATTTATGCTATCTTCCTTTTGTTGTTCAGGAATAGATGATTCATTGTATCATTATCAAAATCAAAATCAAAATCAAAGTCTTCTATTTCTTTAAAATTTATACTGATATTTTCGTTATTTGACATATTGAGTGAAAAAATGTTGATTGAGGATCTAATATTATGCAATTAAAAATCTAATATTTCACATTTAAATATAATAATTTAGTGTTACTTACTAAAAATGATAATTTAACAGCATTGATTTTGATACCAATTTAACTAATTTTTTTTTAAAATAAAGTTCTTATTAAAAATAAATTAGAATAATAAAATTGGCGAAATTTTAATTAAAAAATTATGTAAATTTAAAAAAAAATTGTTAATTATCCAGAAATTTTAATTAGTGTAAATCTAAGAATAAATCAAAGGTAAATCAGTAGTGATTATTAGAATATTATCATTGAAAATTGTATTTCCTTCTGAAAATAAAAATTTGAAATCATGTAAAAATTTAGTAATTTTATCAAAATTGTAATTATTAGATAATTTATAAATTGAAATATACATAATGCTTAAAAATAGAATTACAATTGAATTTGCAATAATTAAATAATTTTGACTAAATAGAATTACTTATTTGAAAATGTTTCAAATTTCTGACATATGTCGATATAATTTTATATGAATTTATATGTATTTTTTCTTTTTTCTTTAATTGTTAAAAAATTAAATTTAACAATTTTTAAATTTTCAATTTATCAAAAATGGCAAACACAATCGATTGGGATGATAATAAAGTTAAATTGATGATTGACGAAAGAAGAAACAGAAATGAAGAATATTAGTTTATGCTTGAAAGATTAAAGTTATCTTTTTGGAAAGACATTGCAGAAAAAATTAAAAAAGAATTTAATATGAATGTTACAGCGATGCAATGTCAAGAAAAGTTTAAAGGGATGATTAAGAATTATAATGTAAGTAAAATCTTGATTAAGAAAGCAAGCAATCTAATTGTATAAAATAAAAATTATAAACAATCAATATTTTTAGTTATTTGAACTTTATGTGAAAGGAAGGTAGAGTAAAGTTAGTGAAAAATATGGAAAGCAATTTAAAGCTCCATTTTGAAAAAAACTTGGTAAGTATTTAAAAATGTATTCTGTTTGATATTTATAGTTAAATTCAAACTTTTATTTTTTAGTTTCTCAAGTAAAAGGTGATCTGAATTAGAATGCCATAAGTTTTGTTATTTAAGTTTCAAATATTTTAAACTTATTTTAAACTAAATTTTATATTTACTTTACTAGAAAATTTAAATAATTCTCGTTCTTTCAATCCTTCTTCTTCATGAAGATCTGCATCATCACTTTTATTATCTAATATCGAAATACCATCACAAACTGTAAACTTCTTTACATAATTCTTTTTTTTTTTAAACTTAATTATTACTCCAATTATTGACATTCTTTTTTTAAAACAAATTTTTAACTATTACTCTCTCCAACTATTGTCATTCCTTTTTCTTTTTCCATTTTCTCCTTTAATTTCACATTCAGTTTTTTTTATAGTTTTTTTTTCTGATTTTCGTTAAAAATAAATTTTTTTTCCTAAATGAAGCTTACCACATTTACGTGGTATTTAGGATCAACAGTTATAGGCTAACTATATCTGGTCAAAAGCAAGCATACTTTAATAATTATAAATTTATTCTACAGTGCATACAACTTAGTCCTAACAAATAAAATTGACAAATTCAAATTGCTAATCCTTATTTTAAAAAAATGATAAATATAAAATAAAACCTTAGGATAGTAGAACAGAACAAGCTCTTTAAGACCACGTTTTTAGATTTTCTGTAAACCTATTTTCTAAAGAGTAGTAGCAATTTAAAGTTGAAGAATTTTACTATCAATCGGATTTTTTGGCCACCTCATCACGTGATACATGTGATCAATTTCCCAATTTTTGATTGGTTAATTTTCATTTCGTGACATATTTATAGTGTAATTTTATAAAACATTTCTCTACTTTGTCAGAAAGTAAAAGAATATTCAAACAGACTGCAGAAAGAGTTTACATTTGGAAGAATGTTCGCCTATGTTGCAGGAGGTCAGTAACTGTGCTCAATATTTCAATACAAAAAAGTACTTAGTTGCATTGTGAGGGATTGCTTGCATAACATTAGTTTTATTAGTTATAAAAGATAAGTTCATTTTTTAAATTCAGCTTTTAATATTTTATTTATACATAATGTTTGAAGTTTAATTAATGTACCAATTTTCCTCTTTATTTGCCTATAACCAATACATTAAACAGAACTAATTTCTAATTATCAATTGATTGTAAAACTGAGTCAGGAACCTAACGATGCGAATGGTATTTTTTAACAGCAAATTCTGCTGCTTTGCCTGTTAAACCTTTCCAATATACATCCATATAATAAAATGCTTTTCTTGCATATCGGCGAATGGTTGTAAGTGAAACTGAAGCAAAAGCCAATAGAACGGTTCTTTGTAATCCTATCCATGAGTAATCACAATATGACCAATTAAATTTCTTGGCTGCATCCCAAAAGTTCTCAATGAAGTTAAACTCACAATGAAACTTAGGATAGAATATAACTTGATGTCCAGTTGCAATAATTATTTTTTCTAATCGTCCCTTTTATGCTAAGAAATCTGGCTGTTAACTCATTACTTTTCATGCTGCTTCTAATTTTAATCCTTTATTTGACCATAATCCTCTTTCTTTTAGAACTTGCTTTAATCCTTTCAGCTGTCCACACAATTCAGAAATGTGGTAATCTAAAGGAAATATCATATCTTGTGGAATACCTCTATTAAAATACGTTTTGCGCATTATTGGTTGTTTTCCACCAGGGTTGAGATTCATGTGTTTAGCAATAAGTGCATATGATGAAAAGGTAGAATGGCTTGATGCATTATCAAATGCAAACAAGGTCTGACATCCTGAAAAACGTGCTTCAAATATTGGAATAGCATGTTCAACTATTTGATTTATCAAATCATCAGCCTTCTACCATCCATCATTATTTTTGCCTGAATACATGATAACACAAGCCTCTTTAGGTAAATTATTGTCTAATATCTGCATTTTATCAGGAAGTATAAGGTGATCACAAACCTCAGTTAAAAAATTGCTTACATGAATCAAACGACTATTATCTTTCTTTCGTAATGGTTGTTCTCCATTGGGAATCCAAAGACTTCTACTTCCATCATAAGCTGAGAAAATACACTCATCATGTGTAACAAGAATAAGTGGTTGCACATTATTGTTTGGCCAAGTTATTTCTTCCAAATTGTCTCCTGAGAAAATAGGCATCTTATACTCAAGCTTATTCATTTGTTCTAAAAATACTTTTCAATAGGTCACCACATCCTCTCTTTCATATCCATCCATATAAATTCCCTTCTTCACCTTTGCATAGTTATATCCAAACTCTCTTAAATATTTTCTTGCAGTATTAACATGAATGGTTGGGAATGGTGAAAATCCAAGTCCTGGCAAAATAATATCATTCATTTGTACCATCAACATCTGTGAAGTAATATCTCATTTATGTTCCTGAATATACAATTTTATTTGTAAAAGAATATTCTCATCCCAAAGAAGACTTAATATTTTAGCATGATATCCTTGGCGGGAGTAAGGAATTTAGCAGGTCATTATATATTCATGTGCCTAAGAACGAATACATCTGGCATAATATACACCTTTTCCTGCAACATCAGCAACAATCTCGCTTGCATCATTTTTTGAATAGTCACATTTTACAAGTTAGAGATAAAGACGGATGCCATTTAAATTTACCTAAACCTCACTTTTTACATTTTTTTTTCAATATCTAACTTTAGATTTTCAAGTGCAGCTGGAATTTTATTATTCCAATCATAATCCTCGGTCTTGTCATCTGATACATCAGATAGTTTGCCAGTACCATCATTTTCCTTAGTAGATTTCTCAGTATTCCAAAGGTATGTAACGTAACTATTCCTTTTGCTGTCTCACGTTGTTGCTGATTTCTTCTTCTTTTAGTCTGGCTTGAGTTTCCTACGTAACATAATCTACGTACTTTATGTGAAGCATATTCCAGGTGATGTTCTTTTGCTGTTTCTTGAAATTTTTTTACAATGTTTACAGCATTATTATTTTCTATTTGTTCATCACAAACAGAATCATCATCGTATTCTTTCGGCTCATCATCAAAGGGAATATCAGGGCTTTTTAGATCATCGTCAACATTATTGTAATCTTTAGAGTCATCATGGTCAAATATATTACTAATGTTGGCTTATATACTATCAATATTATATTTGATGCTTTGATATGTAGCCTTTGTTTCACAAGCTTTCTTTAATCATTTTTACGTTTTGTTAAACGTGGCATATTAATGCAAATTTGTATGAAATATTTATAGGAAAAAATTTTTATAAGGAGGCAAAAACTTCGTGTGGGAAGAAAAGGATCATAATTGTTACAAAAGAAAAGAAATGTATCGCAAAATAAAATGTATAATACATAATTTATTATCATTATTTCGAGTATAATACATATATAATAAACTATTCGTATTCTGATCTAATCACACTATCATGTGATATATACAGGCCAATAAAATTGCAAGTTTAATGTATCACATAATTAAGGATTGATAACTTAAATTTGGCCGCTAAAAACGTTATTTGTCAGAACTAAGTTGTACGCACTGTATTTGTAGTTTATTTTTTATTTTATTTATGTATTATTATTGTAATAAATAATAGAACCAATTAACATGCAAAACAAAAATTTTGTTATTAAAATTCTATTTCGTTAGTTTCAAAAAATAATGCTTTTTCTAATTCTTTTTAGATAAATAATGATAAAAACTTTATTATTTAGATTCTTAAATAAGTTATCAATTATGGTTGAAACTATAGCTGAAAATTCAGTTAAACTGTTGGTTAAACTAATAGTCTAACCATATTGAATCACTTGATAAAAACTGATATTTATTATGATTCTTAATCTTGAAATAAGAGTGCAGATATATTAGTACCATAGGGTTATAACTTTTGCCTATAAAATTGTATGGCAATATGGCATTGTCATATGCTATAACTAGTATCATTTACTGTAACTGACATAACTATGTATATGCTGTAACTAAAATTAGCCTTATAAAACTGCAGATAAATTCTATAAAGTTCGTATAACAGTAAGCATATAGATTAGTATAAAAAGTTTGATAATTAAATTTTACAAAATATAGTTTAAATATAAAATGTAGATTTTTTTTAAATTTGCGTTTTTTTATTTAAATTGTTTTTCATTTGTCGTATTCAAATTAACTATGAAAGAAAATAGAAAATACGTTAATGATACTGAAAATACATTATTTGACATTGAAAATAACCTTTTTAAATGATAAAAAACAAACAAAAAGTGTGGTCCTAAAAGGGATGAAGTATAGGAATATTTCATAGTAGGTGACAAAAAAGATGATAGAAACCACTCTACAACTTGTTATTATTGTAAAAAAAATGGCAAAGAGAAAACTGAAAACCTTAAAAGCTCACCTTTCTAATGAATATTTACAATGTTCTGAAAACATTTGCAAATATTGGCGGGATGTACTTTCTTTTAAATAACAAATTATACTCATAAACAAAAAACTACAATTAATCCATCATTAAAATAACACCAAATAACTCAACACTTCAGCTCAGATAAACCTTTACCACCAGCTATAACTGAACGGATTGACCAATCATTATTGAAAGTATAGGTAATAACAGGGATATCTTTTGAAATAATTGACAACCCTTTTATTCATGATCTATTTCAAGAACTTTAATCTAAAGTATACTCCTCCATCAAGAATAACACTATCTGGTCAATTGTTGTATCAATAAGTTGCTCGGGTTTCTCAAAATATTGAAAAAGAATTGAAAATCTCAGACTATCTAACATTAATTAAGAATCTGAGTTTTAATATTAAAAAAAGATTGTATTTATTTATTGTATATTATTATGTAACTATTATATATAATT